GTTTGTTAAACATGGACTTAAGGAAAACTGATTAGATTTAATTACTTATTTATATCGTTGAATGGTTCTCACCAGTCAAGGTGGGGAATATGTTATAATTAATGACGTAATTATTGCGTGGACACCACGCGTGTGTCACGCAATTCTGCGAGCACATGGAATATTAATGTCTTGTGTGGAAGTTCTGAGTAGAGCGAGTTAAGAAGTGATATATAATTTTTAAAAGTTTATTTTTGATTTAAAAACGAGTTGAGTTCAATTATTCGAGTATAGTTCAATTTATTACAGAACCCGCGACCTTCGCATTTCTAGAACGATGCTCTACCGTCTGAGCTGCAAGGTCAAGCTGAGAACGACTTGTCCCCGAGCCGACGGTGCGAAGCGCCGTGCGAGGGTACTAATTCCCCCCGGCTATTTACACCCGGGGAAACGAAAGCATTAGCCAAGTCTAAAGTTCATCAATGAGCGCGGGCGTGGGTTACCGTTAGTGGTTCGGTGGTTCGGTGGGTGGTCATCCTCACTGATCTCAAAAATATGGCGGACTGTCATGAATAGCGGACACTGATTGGTCCAATTTAAAGTTTGCATTATAACGACTGTCGACTGTATGACGACAGCGAAATAGCAAACATTTCTTGATTTGATGATTGATAAATTTCTTGCAAATATATTTAATTTTTGCTCGCATTTTTGCAAGATTTTGTAAATTTCAAGAAAGAAAGGGCGAAAGAATCGGCTAAAAGAAGGGAGCCGACGTCAACGAAGGTAAGTTTGTTTTAAATATTGATTTTATAATTGCTTATAAACCCGACGGCCGCTTTGGCCCTTTAGCTTTGCGTATATGAAACAACTAAACAAGACAGCATATAGATAGATAGATAGATAGATAGATGATTTATTCAGTTTTAAAAGACTTTACAGCTGATAATGGCTGAATTGTGTTAAAACTTTACAATTATAAAAATTTAAGAAACCTAATGATTAACAATATTTACAATTACTAACAATAAAAGAATTCATAAACCGATCAGTTTTGGCCCTTGGAACGTTAAGTTGCCTTTTACGTCTCAGTTGGTATGAACAGTTATTTTCAGATGGTAGTAGAGGTCTGAGTTTGTGGGATTGATCTCGAGTGATCTCATTAAACAGTTTGCACGTCAAGAGCTGCCTGCGTTCGAAGAGGCGAGGCAGACCGCTTTCTTCGAGGGAATCAGTGTAAGGCATCCAAGGGTAGATTATTCTTAGAGCTCTCTTCTGCAGCCTTTCAATGTCATCTGATAGGTACTTGGGTAGCGAGTTGTGATAAACTGGGCATGCATATTCAAAGATCGGGCGAATACAGGTAGTATAAAATTTCAGAAGTTCCTTAGTTGGAATGGCTGCTCTTTTGAGTTGTCTCAAGAAATAGAAACGAGGTGCAGCCTTCTTGGTTATTTCTGATACATGGAAGTTCCATTTTAAGTTGCTCGATATATTCAGGCCCAGCAGCTTTGCGTGTTGAACAATCTCCAGTGGCTTTTCATTGACCATCACCGAATCGAATTGGGGATTGGTCCTAGCAAATGAGATCCTGAGCTCTTTACATTTTGCCTCGTTCATTTGGAACTTGTTAGCATGAGCCTTATCTGAGAACTCAGTCACTGCATTTTGGATCGTGCTCGCATTGCCTCTCTCCACACACTCGGACATAGTGGTGTCGTCCACAAACTTCCACATATCAGTGTTAGCGATGTCAATGTCATCGATCATTAGTAGAAAAAGCCACGGCCCCAACTTGGTCCCCTGTGGAACACCTGCTGGAATATCCCTCCATTCTGATTTGCAGTCATCCGCCAATTTGACTCGCTGTTTACGGTGTTTAAGGAAGTCTATGATCCAACATTCGACCTTATGAGGGATATTTAAGGTCGCGAGTTTCGTGGCAAGAATATTATGATCGATGAGATCAAAGGCCTTGCGAAAATCGAAGAGGACAACTCTTGTAGTGGCGCCATTTCCGTCAGTATCTTTTGTCCATTTATGGAACATAGTGATAAGAGCAAATGTTGTGGAGGACTTGGGGATGGCGCCGAATTGGTTTTTCTTGATCTTGGCCAAAATCGCTGGTTTCACATGTTCCTCGACGACAAATTCTTCTGCAATTTTTGACATAATTGGTGTCAGTGAAATTGGACGCAGGTCTTTATTTATGTCCTTTGGTGGGTTTTTCTTTGGGATTGGCACTATGTCAGCTGTTTTCCAGGAAGGAGGGAGGCAGCCTTCACGATAGGAGCTGTTAAGGATGTCTGAAACAGGGTTAGCCAATAGATCAGCGTTCTCTTTGAGTAACCAGGCCGGGATATTATCAGGGCCTTGTGCTTTGCTGGAGTTCAAACTCGATAATTTCTTATAAACTGAGTAGGATGAAACTATCAGTGACGTCACCACAGGGTCATTAACCGGGCCTTGTACTGGCTGGAAGTTGGATAGAAGTGGCACGAAGTCGCGCATTGGAGATAGAAAGGCATCGTTGATGTTATTGCCAGTTCTAACATGTCGTGTGCTCCTAGCTGATGTAGCAACTTGGTGGAATCGTCCCGCCTTTCTGAGGCAGATGTCATGCCGCTTAGCTTTTTAACCTCCTTCCACCATAGGGAAGGCTTGCACTCATTAAAATGACTGACCTTAGCTTTATAGTACTTTTCCCGGCAAATCTTTCGTTTTCGGTTAACTCGGTTTCTCAGAAGTCGAAAGGTGACCATATTACTATCTGCTAATGCGCACTGGCGTCTTTTAATAAGGTCCTTGAGTGATGGGTTCATCCAGGGTGGTTCGCTTGAATAGATGGTTTTGGATCGTAGAGGAAGAACTGAGTCTAATCCCGTCTTTATAATAGTATCAAGTAGTGAGACTTTCTCCGTGCAGGTCTCCACAGTCCCGAGGAGGCTTGGTACGTCGACTTGTTGGAGGTACAACTGCATAGCGAAGCGGCTGCTTGGACGCAGATCTCTTTTTTTGACAGTTATCTGCCCTCTTGGAAGTTGGACACGTTGTTTTGGTTGGTCTTCAACAGTTGCGTGATCAGATAGACCGAAGTTGGGACGCTTTACTGGTGTATTGTAGAAATTCTGAAGGTTAGTTAGAATTAAGTCCAGTTTGTTGGAACCTCTGGTTGCAAACGGCACGATTTGTTTCAGGTTAAAGATATGGTTTAGTTTATTAATGACATGTCTAAGATGATTGAAATCGCCGAGCATAATTACTCCACAGTTGGCGTACTGGGATTCAATTAATGTGAGTTTTTCAATCAAATAATTAAGCATGGATGCATTGTCTGCGCGAGGCGGATGGTAAAGCACTCCCACAACAATAGTGCTAATTCCTCTTGGGAGACGAGTTGGCTGGATTTTAACCCAAATAACTTCAAAAACTGGGTCAAGTAAGTTGTGAAGTACGGAATATTTGATGGAATTCTTGATGTACATACACACACCGCCGTGATCGGCCGACCTCCTATCAAGACGAATCAGATTATAGCCATTGATAGCGACCACAGTGTCTTGAATGTGGTCTTTAAGCCATGTCTCAGTCAAACAAGCAAGATCTAAATTTGCATTGCTAATACAGTGTTGAACTTCGTCTATTTTTGGTGCCAAAGATTGAACATTAGAGAGCAAAAAGCTTGGCACAAATACTCTTTCTGACCCTTTCCTCCTAGTGATCTCCAGGGGCGGATCCAGACCGATGCCAACGATGCGAATGCATCGGTCAAAATTGAGAAATCATGTTGCTTGAAATAATGTGTCGTCAATACTTAGTCAAGCACTCAGTAATAGAATATCTTTGAATCTCTCCAGCTATCAAACCGCAAATATTTGCTTAAACTTGACTCCATGTGACTGTCCATGTCGGGAATACACTATTTAGGATGAAATCCAATTTAAATTGTCTCAATAACAGTCGAAATTGTCAAAATAAGTCCAATATGCGACGTGCGATCGCAAAAGTATTTTCTGTTATTTACTTTTTATTTTGCGACACTTAAGCGTGAATAATTTCGCGACAAAATATATTATTTTTACCGCATCCTTTGACGTCACAGTAGAAAGCTGATGCATCACCTACGTCACGGTAGATTTTGTTTGCATCGATTTTCAGCCATTTTGCATCAGTGAATGCATCGGTCCCGAGTCCTTTTCCGCGTAAAATCTACTGTGACATCATCAAATCTATTGTTTTAGAGCCCTACGTCACGGTAGATTAGTCCGCTGAGCGATGCATCGCATGCAGATTGCGGGCGCTCGCATCAGTTCACTGATGCAAATTTCAAAATCAAAATCTACTGTGACGTAACGAGGCATTCGATTCAAGTCATGGCGGCAAGGATATGCAAACACTATATGCAAATGAACAAATAATGCGAAGAAATATCCCTCGAATATGATGGAGAGCAATTAAGTTACAGTCGAATTAATTACCAAGGTTTGGAATGAATTTGATCTTTCAACTGAGCAGTGAGCACAAGAATTGAAGTATATTTATACTGTGAGAATGTGAGATGCCCACTACGGCCACTAGGGCTCTAAAGTAAGTGGAATTTATGTATATTTTACATTGTAGTACATTGTTAATTGTTCAGTTCAATGTAGATTTGTATGTATTAACATAATAATTCAAGTTTGTGTCTATTTGATACTGCTGTTCATACCATTTGGTTAGTGCTATATATAATTAAATAATGATAGATTAAATAGTGATTGTAACTATATTTAGCTTGTTGTTAAATTATGTGAAATAATTTGACATTTCGCCTGGCACATTTTGATTGGATACCGGTACTAAAAATAAAACTTTGGTGTGGGTCAAGACTTGCATCAGGCACTGTACAGTATGTAATTACAATGCATAATAATATTGCAGGTTAATTAACCCATTGAGTCGCATTGCACCCTGATGCACCCTACTTTAGTATTTTACTCTGTCTAACGCAGACGATTTTACTTGTCAAGGGGAGAGTGCTGGCGCTTAATGGGTTAATGAGCTGGATTTCTAATAGTGATGCAATATTGGTTAGAAAACATTACATTTCATTTTATATGGAAATGAGCTGGTGTGCCTCATGACAAGAGTATAATTGCTTTGCATTGCCTGAGTTATTGGGCAATTACTGTACACTGGATATTTTGCAAACAAAGATCATTACCTGGGCGTGCTCGCCTACCATAGTTTGGTACATATGCTTTGTCGGTGCAAATATAATTTGATATAAGCTGTATATGTCATTCTGTTGACAAATTTTAATCTTAGAATGATAAAATGATGGACGTTATAAATACTGTATATAACTGCATGTAACTGGTGTATATAGGTTATAATTATGAAATTTGCTCACAAAAGTGGTATAGATTTAATTAAATTATATATATTTGTAGTGCTTAATTCTCCCAATACTATGTTTTGGATAGCCAGCATGGCTCTCTGAGGATTACCATTGATAAGTGTACGGATATATTTGACGAAGATGTGCATTTATATAGTAACACAGGGAAAATATTGATCAATACTACTGCGCAGCCTTTCTACATTGACATCATCTTAAAAGAGTACTATATTAATATATTAGTTGAAAGGCAGGCAAAAGGGGACTGATAGAAGACATCTGATGATTCAATTATGTCATCATATATTGTTTATCATTGTACAGTTTGGTAGGTTCATTTGACAAACAATTTTCAACTAAGATAGTTCATTAAATCAATTTACACACAGTATCACTATATATATCTATTGATTTAAAGTTTGGGGTCATGTGTACCTATAGTTATACTTATAGAATTTTAAAACTCAGTGCTTGTTGTGTGTTAGTTTTACTGGTTTCCTGGTGACAGGGCAATATTCTCAGTAATTTAGAGTGTGGGCTAGTCACCATGCAAATATGCAATTCACATCAAAGGCATCTATTGCTAGGGGTGAATAAAGTTTGACGTACTGATGCCAACAACACTGTCCATACAGAGTAAGGTTAGCAGCATAAGACAGAGTTGTATATAAATAAGTTTACCAACTAGAGCACAAAATACCTTTATGCACCATTCTAATGCTAAAAAAATTTACTCATGGAACATTGCAAATTAGTGGAAATGAATAAGCCTCAGGGAAGGTGGTTAAGAAACCTAATAACACTGTCTTTTGAGTCCAACATTG